TTGTTACAGTTTGTCACATGTCAGCTAGGTGTAAAACGCCGTAGTCTGACCTGAAACTTTGGTACATTTTTACTTATAACCATAAAAACCGTATACGCAGATTTTCGCAAATCCTGGTTGTACGTCATTTTCGTTCAGAATTCGGCCAAGACCATGGAAACAGGCGTTGATTCAATATTTCTAATTATTGAGTGAAAATTCTGAGTATGATTTTATCGTGGCTTTTTGACAGATTGAATTTAAGACTAAATGTTTTGTCAAGTACTACTGTTTTATGTTACGCTCGTTATATACTGCTAGCTGCTGTACTGACCGTTCAGAGTTTAAGTAGATTAAGTACCACCTGCGCATCACAGATAAATAATCGATTTTCTTTTACCAATATTGAAACTTTGTGTCATTTTTTCACATTAACCTCATTGCGGAAGTTTCAGTAGGAATTTAGGAAAGCTATTACCAGCACTACTTATCCTTGAACCACTTTCCTGATGAAAGGCAGTCGACCAATAAGATGGAGGAGGGAGAGTATCCCTGAAGGTCATTTTCTACGGCCCTTAGCATGGTTGAATTATATGTTGTGAAGGTGGCATGCTTAGCATATATTCTGAACATTCTTGTAACTAACAAAATCGAAGCGAAAGAATATTATAGTTGTTGATCGAATTTTTTAGATTTATCCATGATTACTCAGGCGTTTGTAGAATGGTTTCCGTTGATTTGGAGCCCGATCAATTTGTTAGCGCTTTACCGTCTAGTGCACACCGTATAAATTGTTGGCAGTTGCATGTTTCTGCAGTGAAATACTGATGAAGTCGCCCGATCGTAAGAGATATTAATAAGGGCTGCTCTGATTGGCTGTGGAGCAAACGCAGCGTGAGTTCAATCCTCTTCTCAGCAGAGAAGTCCATGCGATCCAAGACGTTAACGCCAGTGGTTCACATGTCTGTGTGGGAATATGAAGTTCATATTTTAGTAGGACCCAAGGCATAGGCGAAATAAACTGTGATTTTTTATGGCCACTTCCGATTCAGTCATTTCTGAAGATCGTACTAGGTCGATCAATCAGATAAACTTACTTTAAGTATATCGGTTACTGGTTAGATGACAACTGTAAAATAAACTGATCTGCGTGTTTTTTAGACTATCGTAATTTCGTTATTGCCTTCTCCTTTACATCAGATACGGAAGTTGGCAGAACTTCGGCCTTGCAATAGAAAGATCGTGAGTTCAGAACTAATTTGAGTCATTTGCCTTTCACACTTTCACGGAAAGGAAACTGCACATTACAATAAGCTGATTCTAGCTGTTTGTAGCAACCTCAGAAATAAGACAATTCTGGTCACTCGTAATTATCAGGCCTCCACTAAAGTCTGATCTTTTCGAATCATTCACGTTTTTCTATAATTAGAATCCTTTTGTTTTTAAGATTTCGATGGCACGAAAGAAGATTCCCTCATTACTGCCAGCGACCGGTCGAGCAGTACAGACACGGACAGGTCAAACTTGGACGCACAGGAGAACTATTCCGAAAAGAGTGGACGCTCAACGGGGAAGTCTCCTCAAAGCCCACCTGGTGATACGATGTCAACGTCGAGCCCTAAAGCGGGATACAAGTCACAGAAGGAAGCCAAGGAGGCCATCCACGAAAAATCACCGCCGCCGAAAGTTGGGGTGCCAAAAAAACTTAGAAGCAGCAAGCTGGAGACTGCCTCTCAGCTGTTGAAGCGCGTCACGTCCATACACTCGAATCAGTCGTATTCACCTGCCGAGAAGGAGAGGCAACTCAACAACCGGAAATCGTCACTGAACGGCAATACATGTCGATCAAGCAAATCCGGAGAAAGTTCGTCCCTGATCCACGTGTCACGGGCGAACGTTCCAATCACTAACAGCTCTCGCATTTCTGCATCGGTTTCGAATGTTCGATCAAAATCGACCATCAACAGGATAGCGATCAGAACAACGTTGCGCAGCTCTGACTCTGCTTTAGGAGTTCCGGTGAAGGGGTTGTCGCCGTCTTCC